CCATTGTCGGAGCCGTGCAGCCGGCTGATGTGCAGCCTGGAGGAGTGGTGGGAACTCATCCCGTGAATGCTGAACTTCTCCTGGCTGACGTTTGCGCCATATGTGGCTTTTCCCAGAGGATTGGAAAATAGCAAGAACTCAAAGTGTTGCCTGCCCTGGTTCCAGCGGTACCAGTAGAGCCCAGTGTGATCCCTCTTCGTAGGGCAGATGATTTCTGTGCTGCTGTTTGTCTGGGCTAAGATATGCCCTGGAGTCTGGGATGAAAGTAGATTTGTACAGAAACCTACAAAAAGAGGCAGGAACGCAGAGCTGTGTATTTCACCTTCGTTAGATCCATAGGTTGGAAAAGATCTTCAAGATCCCCAAGTCCAACCATTGGCCTGACCTACCAGGTCCCACCACTGACCCACGTCCCTCAGTGCCACGTCCACTTGTCTCTTAAATAACGGCCCAACTTTTCCTTCTATACTTAGTAACTGGCATCAGACCAGAAACCCTCTAACAGAAGCATCAGCCTGTGTTACAAGCTGGACACAGTAATCCTTGTGGGTCCTTTCCAACTTGATGTTCTATGATTCTATCACGGAATCGTTTGAGTTGGAAGAGACCCTAAATGGTCATCTAGTCCAACTTCCCTGCGATGAACAGGGACACCGACAGTGTTGTCAGGTGCTCAGAGCCTGGTCTATGGTTCTGTGATATTCCTTCAGAGGCCTTTTCGGTTTCCCAGCTACTTTTTGGAAAAATAATAATTATTATTGTATCTATTTCTGTAAAACCACATACATCACCCCACAACCGCTCATCCAGAGACGGAGCTCAGTGGCAGAGAGGAATGGAAGAATGATTTTAAGCATTTTAACAGTGCTGTATTTTTTGTATTCTCTCAGTTTTGGAACCCAGAGACTCTTCTGAGCCCCTTCCATCCCTTATTTTGGTTGCTAAAACTTTTAGATTATTTCTGTTGTTTTGTAGCTAGAAACCTGAGCATCTCCAGAGCTGTTGCTGTGGGATGCGTTGGTCTCTTCCTAAGACACATCTCTAGAAAGGGCAGAAAAAATTTGGAAAGATTGGGAAAATGAATATAAAGATAAAGACATTTCATTTTATTTGATATTTATTTTTGGATGGCTGTTTTTCATAAGAATTTTGCAATTTGGAGAGGGAGAACAACGCAAAGGTAGCAAAAAGATTTGAAAGCTTCGTTTTGGTGTTTGCATCGCCTTGTTTGGGCTGTGCAGGTACTGCTGGAAAATTATCTCAGGTCTGGGCAGATAGGAGTGGTGTTTGTGTGTGAGAGGAGTGAGCTGGCATGGCCTTGGGGAAGGAAAACAGGAGCTGGCGCAGGGCTTTGTGTTCAGCAAATAATCCTGTGCAGCTGCACAGCCCCTGTGAAAAACAGCCTCAGGAGATAAGGATGCTCTCCCTTCCCCTGCCTGTTTCCCAGGCGAGATTTACAGCCATGCAGAAAGCTGAACAGAGCCCTTTTCCCCTTTTTTATTTGCCTTAAAATTTACATATTCCTTCAAACTTCCATGGCCACTGTTGCAAACTGCACCATGCAACTCCAGCCCTGCAAGCCCACCCGCACAGCATGTGCTTGGCCCTGGCTGCCCCATGATGGTGAGAGGTCTGGGAGCTGGGGTTCAGGTGGGAATGAGGCAGCAGCTCAGGAATGGAGCCACGGGGGCCAATTGGTTCCCCTTTACCCACATGAGGCAAACTGGAATTTATTGCAATCTTGTCCAGAGGGAAGCTAGCCAACCCCGCCGTACTGTGGTGCTTTTCTCCCCAAAGGCACCTTCTTGTATGTCTCTAATTAGTTATTTAGTTTTTCCCATCTGGGACTTTTGGTACAACTGCTGGTGTTTTGGGGAGCCTGGGGTGACCCCACCACTACACTGGGGCAACTCTTATATGCACTATATATACGTAGTATAAGTACACTGACGATACATTCGGTCCATATCCCCTATGATTCACCCCATGAATTATAGAACCATAGAATCGTTAAGGTTCCAAAAGATGTCTAAGATCATCCAGTCCAACCAGCCTCCTACCACACCATGCCCACTATCCACGTTCCTGAGTGCCACATCTCTGCAGTTCCTGACCGCCTCCAGGGACAGTGACTCCACTGCCTCCCTGGGCATCGTGTTCCAACACCTCACCACTCTGCCTGAGAAGAAATGTTCCCTAATACCCAACCTGAGCCTCCCCTGGAACAACTTGAGGCCATTTCCTCTCATTCTATCGCTGTTACCTGGGACTGGCGATTTAAATTGCCCTCATCCAGAGATATCCCTCTTACCTGGGAGCTGCAGGCAGAGCCAGAGCCAGAGCCATGGCCTGGCCATGGTGGCCATGTCCAACATCATCCAGCTGTGTGCAGGTGCTGCTGGTGTTGGTGGTGAGAGGTCCCCGCTCTCACAATCAGGTGTCAGGGCGACGGGCTGGGCTTGCTCTCTTTAATGATTTCCTCCTATTTCACCATCTAGCATCTCCTCCTGTTGTAAAATCTGGCCTTTAGGTATCAGAGAGCAGCAAGCTGGCTCAGAGGGCCCTAAATGAATAAAACAACACCCTTTGGCTGTCTTCTGTCGAAATCAATTTGCTCTCTAAATGAGAAGATGTAACTTCAGGCACTCCGCTTCAGCAGAAGGCAGCAAAATTAACTGCAGCCTCCGGGATTCACCACACAGCAAACCGTCCTTGTGCAGGAGGCATTCCGTCCTGAGCCTGGAAAATGCTGAGAGCTCTCCATCTCACACGAGAGAGGCATCGCAGAACGCTTTGAAGACGACAGCAAGAAACCTCAAACAAATTTAGTGGCTGACAAACCGCAAAAGTAAGGAAATTCTTCTCAGGCTCCCCACCTGGCCCTGAGCTTTGACACCGAGTGCCTCGTTTGTTGTATTGATGTTATAGGTGAAGGATTTGGAGCAGGAATGGCTTGGATTTGAGCAGTGAAATGCATGGAGTGAAAGTGCAGGGAGCGGTGGGGTGCAGGGGTTGCAAGACTTCAGTATTTCCATCTTTGGGAAGAAATCTCTTGTGTGCTGTCATTTTCTTCTCTCTTTTTGCTGGGGTTCCCTCCTGGCTCATGCCCACAGGGTCTCTGGGGGGGCTCTGGGGTTCCCCCTCCCTCCACTCAGGACCTCCTGGATTTGTGAGTTGTCAGATGAATGGGAAGAAAGGATTTTCCATCCCATCTGGCGTAGTTTTTTAACTTTTCACCAGATTTTTCTACGCTGCTCTAACATGTTTCCCCCACACCCTTCTGTTTAATACAATTTCCTGCTACAACCACCCAGAGCCTTGTGGTGAAGAGTCAAATGTAGGGTCGGCTGAATCATTCCTTAACTCTTTCCTGGCAGGAGCAGCCCAGAGGTCATTTCAGTGCTTTCCAGCTCATTTCATTCCTTTAAGTGCACAGCCCTTCTCACAGGGCGCAGCCATCCATCAGAGCTGTGTTGGCAGCATCTTATTTTCTATGGTTTCTGCGCATTGCTGGTGCTTTTGTTTGGGTGGAGACCACCAGGGGGGCATTGAGGGGTTTTGGGGTGATGGGAGAATTGGGATGGCCCCAAAGGAGAGTGACCCCAACTCCAAGCTGCACATAAAGGGAAGGGAAAGCACCTGGCTGCAGACAAGGGGAAGGGAATTGCAACACAGTGATTCAGACAAGGCAGGCAGGTTTTAATTGCATTTTCAGGGAGTGACGGAGTGCAGTATTCTCATGAAGGCTGCAGTGAACTCAAAAGGTTGTCCCCCACTGGGGCTGGCTCCCCTCATGAGCACCTGGTCAGATTTCCCCTTTCCAGAGCTCTCATATGAGGACCTACCCATAGAGGCTGTGGGGACCTTTTTTATCAAGGCCCCTCACTGAAGATGTGCAACTGCAGGAGAGCTTTTCCACTGCACATGAGTTGTCCTGCCTGCTGCCATGGCTGGATCCCTCCTTTCCCACCTCTCTTTCTGGCGACCCCTGCCCATCTTCTGACCTCCTGGCCAGGACCAGAGTGTTCCCAGAGGTGGAGTAAGCACTGTTACAGCCTTGGGCACAGGGCACATTACTGTGGGCTTCAAATGCTGCCAGAAGGTTGGTGACAGTGGCTTGTTGAAGCAGACGCTTTGAGTTTTGAGGGTTCCCCTGGGCTCTGAGCACTTGATGGAGCTGTAAGTGTCCCTGTTCATTGCAGGGGAGTTAAACTAGATGGCCTTTAAGGGTCCCTTCCAACTCAAATGATTTTATGATTATAGCAGCTTTAGAGATACTTCCCTGCAGCATTTTAACTTACATTTGTCCGATGGAAAGAGAAGAAGAATATTAACAATGTAAAAGCTTAACGCTGGAGCAGTTTTGTGGCTTTCTTTTTCTCTTTTTGTTCAAAATGACGTGGTTCTCAGGGCTGGGTGCTGCTCCCAGTAAACACACCAGAGGTGGGACGCCTGTGTCTGGCAGCCCATCTCCAACAGCAGCCCCAGCGCCGTGGGAGCGTGCGGGCAGCCAGGTGGTGCTTATCACATCCCCGCTTTGTTTGGGGCTGCTGTCTGGGAAGAGCACAGGGGGGTGAGCTGAACCCATCTGTTCACACAAACAAGAGGTGTTTGTGACCTTGCCGGGGTACAGCGGCTCCTGTGGAGCGCTGATCATGAGCCTTGCTGGTGGCTGGGGCAAGATGGAGGGGAATCTGAATTTTCGTGTGTTTGTGCTACTTGCCTCACAGCTTCTAGTGGGATTTAAGTCTTTAATGTATACAGTAAAAGCCAACCTTCTTGATCCTCTGCCCAACCTCATCCCTGCCCCATCTCCACAGTCTCCCTGAAGATCTGCTCCTTGCCCATACCCTCATCTCACCTTCCTAGCACCAATTTCCTGGTCCTTTGCCAGCTTTGTTACATTTCTAACTCTATTTCTCCCCCCTCTCCCCCCCCCTCCCCCCCCTCCACCTTGGTGTCTTTTTTCCAACAAAATGTGTTGCTTTGGGTAACTAGAGCAAACCATTGGGAAATAAGAGGTCTGTAGTGGAGAAGCATGGCTCAGCGGGGTCCCCAGTTCTGCTGAAATCCCATTTTGCAGCAGAACCATGAGCCAGGCTGTGCTGAGCATGCAGGGGCTGGAGAGGGGAACTGCCCATCGGGGATGGTCGGATCCAGGGGGCTGAGCTGCCTTCAGTAGCCACAAATGCAAACATTGGGCATAAAAAACAAGGACAAAGCTGCACCCTCAGTGCTTTTGGACTACAGGACTTTTGAACTGGAGAGTGCTGCTCAGCCTTGGCATGCAGTTATTGGAGTTAGGAGATCATAGGGTGGTGGGGTCCCCAGCGGGTAATCCGCAGGGCTCAAGCAGCTGCGTGGGAGCTTCTCTCCCTCCCTCCCCCCAAGTACTTATTTTTAATGAGGGAGGGAGAGAAGCAGCACTGAGAACGACAGGAGGATGAGTAATGCCCTTTTCTGTGTAATGGCAGAGGAAAACGAAGGGGGCCGAGTGGTGTGCAGGGCTCTGAGCTGCAGTGTGGTTTGTGGGGTGAAGCCGTGACTTTGTCTCTGCAGCTGCAGACCTCCAGCTGCAGTTCAGCTGATGCTGCAGCAGGGCTTAGCCCCCCTCCATGCTGTGGGGAGCAGGGTTTCACCCCCAGCTACCCGCCTGTGTGCAATAGGATGGCATTGAAATTCTGCTGCTGAAGTTTGGGAGATAAAATGGATGTGAAATATTCATTGTGTAAATTGAGGGGGAACAAGTGTTCAGATGGTTTGGGGCCCAGGTGTGATGTTCCTCAGGCTGAGGGGCTAGCAGAGGGGTGCAGAAAGCAAGTGGGCCATAAAGGGAATCTTGGGGTACGGGTGGTCAGGGACAGGCGGCAGTGGCTGCTCCAGATCTCCCTCTTGAGGGCACTTGGTGCAAGCAGAGCTTCTTGAGACATAGCGGTGACTAATCCGGCCCCCCTGAAAAAAAATAATGAGCAGAGCACCTGCTCTGTGGTTATCAGTGCCGGAGAGGATAAGAGAAGCCAAGCAAATTGTCCTTGGGAAGATAGTGGTGGAGATGCCGCACCTGAGGGAGGGAAAGGCACCGAGGAAGCAAACAGGCGATATCCTCCCCAAACAACCATCTGCCATGGCTATAAAGAGCTGCCGGCTCCGAGACCCCGCCAGCACCTTGACCCTAAAGGTGCCAAATCCAGCGGAGCTCTGCAGCATCCATCCCCAGGTCCCCGGGACTCCCAGTGCATCTGGACGAGGATTGGTGAGATCTTATTATCGGGGTCCTCCTCTTTTCCTCCTCTTTGCCCGCACCCCGGGTGCCGGCGGGCCGCAGCAGCCGCCTGCCAGGTCTTTTGTCCCCCATCCCCCACTGTCCCCTTGTCCCCCCCACCCCCTTCCCTTGCTGCTGGGTTTGGTGTCCCAGGGAGGTCGTGGGGCTTTTTGGAGGGTTGGTTTGTGGGTCCGTGGGGTCCTGGTGTTATGGTAGTTGTGCTGTGAAACGCGGTCGTCTCTCAGCTCGTCACCCCAACTCTCACTATGATGTCTGATATCGTTAGCAACTGGAAGCTGGAGCAATTTGTGCTCCAGAAGTGTCTCCCCCCGATTTGGTCCCCTGGGGCCTTTCAGGGCCCCGAGGCGTACCAGCAGCTGTGTCAGCAGTGGGAGAGCTGGTCCGAGGAGAACAAAAAGCCCAAACCCACTAACAAGTGCAAAAAGAGAGCGGCCTTGCAGGGTTTGCTGATGGTGGGCAGGGAGTTGTCGAAGTTGCTTAAGGAGGCTCTTGAGAGTGTGCAGACACTGGAGCAGGCCAAAGGCGAGCTCAAGATGCAGGTGGATAACCTGCGGGCAGAGGTTCAGGGTCTGTGCGGAGACTCGCTGAGGAGCGCGGTGGAGATAACCCGGCTGGAGAGCAAGCTGGGCTACGAGAAGTTGAAAACAGAGGAGTTAGAGAAGGAGGTGGGCAAATGGATCGGGGAGACACATGATGCGCAGAGCGCGGTGCGGGCTGTCCTGCAGGATGCCCAGCGGGACCGCGGCAATGGCCCTGATCACAAGGTGTGCCACGCCAAGATCCAGGAGCTGCAGGCTGAGCTGGGGGTGTCGCGGGGCATTGTGGCTGCCATCCAGGGCAAGAGGAGTCGGTTCGGGAACGGCGAGGGGGATGACTGTCTTGATCCGCACCCACCCCACTATGACTATGAGGATGATGTGTGGGGGGCCAACGGCCCCACCAGGCCATCCCCATATGCTCCCCTGCGGGAGGAGGTGTGCCAGCTGCAGGGCAGTGACACAGAGGCTGCTAAAACTAAGAAAAGTCCTCCTGATGAGCCAGTCAGCCATGGCCCACTGCAGGCCATTGATACCAACCGGGCCATGCTTTGGTTCACCCCCGAGCAGCTCAAGACGGTGGGAAAGATGCTGGGGCCGCTGACCAAAGAGACAGCGGTCAACTGGCTGTCCAGGGCCCAGAGGCTGCCCAGGTGCCAGAGCGGCAGTGCGGTCAGTGACCTGATAGACGTGGTGAGGAAGTGCATGAAACCTGATGATTTCGCGGCCCTGCCGGGGGATGTGCAAATGGGCAATGTCCAGGATATTGGGGACGTCCAGTCGGCGGTGCTAAAGGTGTTTTTTCCAGAGGTCAACCCCTTGGTGCTCTTCCACCAGGAGAAGCAGAACCCCGAGGAGCGGCCAGATGCCTATGTCAACCGTAAAAAGATGCTCTACCAGATGGCGGGGCTGCCTGGTTCTAAGGAGTCCCCCCTTGATTTTGACAGGCCCGAATTCAAGGAGCCGCTGGTGGTGGGGCTGACCCCCCCTTTGCGGGTGATTGCAGGTGGGGATGCGGCGAGGAAGCCGCTGTCAGAGCTAGAACAGATCCTGACCCAGAATTTTGAGCTACAAAAGCAGGCGTTCCCAGGGTACATGCTGGGGGGGAAAAAGGGGAAACCCTCAGCCATGTCCTTCCAAAACGCGGGGATGAGGAAAATGCAAGGGGACAACCGGAAAGATCCCGATGGCAAGAACGGCTCGGGGAAGGAAAACCAGCAAGGGCTGAGGTTTCAGAAGTCCAACCCTTGGCGGGCTGAGCTGAGGAAGCGCTTGATCAAATATGAGAAGCAGGAGGACATCGATGGCTTGCCAGACGCAGAGCTGTTCAGAAAGCTGGCGCTGCACGAGGCCAAGAAGCACAGCAGCTCCAACCCCATCGACCCGGGGTCTAAGGCTCAGCAATAGGGCTGCCAGGCACCTGCATCGCCCCTTTTTGTGGCACCGATTAAGACCGATTTGTGGGGGCGCCTGATAGTTGATATAACTATTGGAGGAGGGGTGCTTGGACAAGTGATGTTAATTGATACTGGTGCCTCTTATTCAATTCTGAATATGACCCCTGGTGAAACTGGGCTCTTCCAAACACGCGAAATTATTGAAGTAACTGGGCCAAATGGCCAAAAATCCTCAGTGCCATTCACAGAGCCCATACCCTTCGAAATTGGAACTGCCAAGGGGTCAGAAAAATTTGGGAAAATGGAAATGAAAGGAAAGCCAGGAATTTTGGCCATCTCCACTCTTACAAAGATGGGGGTGGTAGTGGACCTGGCAAACCAAACAATGTTACGTTGCCCTCAAAGTGATGTGCCCATCATCCCAGCAAGCCACAGAGTCATGTCCATCAAAGCTCCTGAGCTCCTGATCCACCCCGAATGGGAGCCCCGAGTGAAACGGGTGACGGAGCAGTTCCCACAGGTCTGGGCAAGGAACAAGCTGGACTGCGGGCGGATCGATGCCACAGTTGTGATAAAAGGGCCAGACCCCCCTCCTCAGCAGCAGCCCCAGTACCCAGTTGAGGCTGAGGAAGGCTTATGGGATACAGTCAAAACCCTGCTGGACCAGGGGGTGCTGGTGGAGCAGCAGAGCACCAGCAATGCTGTGGTGTGGCCCCTGCGGAAAGCTGACAGGAAAACCTGGAGGCTGACGGTTAACTACAGCACCCTCAACCAGGTCACCCCGCTGAAGGCATCCACGGTGGCCAAATACCCTGATGTCATGGAAGCCATCTTCCGGGGATCAGAGTGGTTTTCAGTGCTCAGCCTGACCAGCGTGTCCTTCGCCATCCCCCTGCACCCTGAGTCCTGGCACAAATTTGCCTTCACTCTCCAAGGACGGCAGTTCACCTTTACCAGGCTCCCCCCAGGCTTTCACAGCACCCCTGCCATTTGCCACATGCATGTGTTGAAGATGTGGGAGAAGCTCAGCCACAAAGAGAGCGTGTTATCCTGTGCTGGTGACATCCTCATCCACACTCAGACCAAGGAGGAGAACCTGGAGGTTCTGGCAGAGGTGCTGGAGGCCATCCAGAAGACAGGGTTCAGGGTCAGCCCAACGAAGGCCCAGCTGTGCTGGAAGGAGGTGTCATATTTAGGGGTGACCCTCAGGGAGGAAGGGCGCTCGCTGGAGAAGCAGCGGGTTGAGTTGATACAGAAATTGTCAGCACCAGCTGATGTTACCACCTTACGGTCCTTCATGGCTCTTGTGAAGTTCTCCCGAGAGTTCATCGAGGGCTTTGCAGAGAAGGCCGCCCCGCTCTGCAAGCTCCTCAGAAAGGATGCTCTGTGGGAGTGGGGTCCAGAGCAGGATGAGGCAGTTAAAACTCTAAAGGAGAGCGTTGCCCGAGCCCCCATGCTAGTGTGGCCCTGTGGTGACAGACCCTATGTGCTGCAGCTGGCCAGCGTGGGGACAGGGCTGAGGGCCACCCTTAGCCAACACCATGGTGCCCTCCTCCAACCCATTGCCCACGCCTCGCGGCTCCTGACGCCAACTGAGCAGCAGTTCACTGCATACGAAAAGGAGGTGTTGGCATTGATCTGGGCCCTGCAGCACTGGGAGTATTTGGTGGGGTCTGCCCCAGTGCTGCTAAGGACATCCCGTGCCCCAGTGAGGTACCTCTTGTCAGGGAAGGGAGGGAACAGACCCATACGCAGCCCCAGGATGGCCAACTGGGTGCTGGCACTGCCCAACAAGGACATCCCTGGGGAGACTCAAGAGCCCCCACCCAGCATCTATGGGGTGGTCATCAGCAGCGAGAGGGATGAGGAGGAGATGGGGGAGCCAAAGCCACAGCGGGCGCCCCTGTTTGAGAGCAGCATCAGCTTGGTGGATGCCAAGGACAGAGGCTATGTGGTATGGTTTGTAGATGGCTCCAACTACCATGAGAACGGGGTCCCCTACACGGGCTACGCTGCCATCAACCGATGCACTGGGGAGGTGGTCAAAGGGAAGTGCCTGCCGCACTCCATCCAGGCCGCCGAGCTGGTGGCTGTGACAGTTGCCCTTGAGAACACGCCAGCAGACCAGCCGCTGGCCATATTTTCAGACTCGGGCTGGGTGGTGAGGGTGGCACTGGAGTGGCTGCCACTCTGGAGGGAGAGGGACATGCAGTCAGCTGATGGCAAGCCTGTCACCTATGCCAAAAAGCTGCAGTACCTTGCCAGGCTGGCAGAGCAGAGGGCACACCCAGCCCAGATAATTAAGGTCAGGGCCCACAAGAAGGGAACAGAGGAGGCGAAGTGGAACAAAGAGGCAGATGCCAAAGCCAAACAAGGAGCTAAGGAAGGGCAGATGTGGAAGGCCAGTAGGCCCTCCGAGAACGGCCCCCTGCTGGTGGCTACAGGCAGGAACTGGGAGAATGTGGACTTGCTGGGCTTGCAGGCACAAGACCCAAGTGTCCGGGAGCTAGCGCAGGGCAGGGAGTACAAAGGGTGCAAGGTCTGGAAGGATGTCTCGGGTCTGGTCCTGGCACGGAGAGAGGGGGTAGATTTCCCAGTCTGGGTGGTGCCTGAACTTGTTCGGACAGAGCTGGTGGCTTTGGCTCATGAGCAGGGGCATTTGGGAATAGACAAGACCTTGGCAAGGCTACAGGGTGCTGGTTGGTGGCCTGAGATGAGAGAGGATGTAGAGAGGTATGTCAACAACTGCCTCACCTGTGCAGCCAACAATCCCGATGCAAAAACAGCAAAAGCCCTCCTGGGCCACCAGAGGATTTCTGGCCCTTGGAGCAAGCTACAGATGGAGTTCATCGGTCCTTTGCCCCAAACGGCCCTCGGAAACAAGTACTGCCTGGTGATCAGTGATAACTTCACCAAGTGGGTGGAAGCATTTCCAGCTCGAAACAACACAGCCAACACAACTGCCAAGATCCTGGTAGAGCACATCTTCTCACGGTGGGGCATCCCAAAGGAGGTTGACTCAGATCATGGCCAACGCTTCGTCGGAGAAGTCTCGAAAGGTGTGTGCCAGGTATTGGGCATAAAGCAAAAGCTTCACATCATGGGGCATTTCCACAAGCCTGGCTTGATGGAGGGGCCCAACCAAACACTGAAGATAGCATTGAGGAAGATCATAAACCAACAAAGGAAGGACTGGGATCAGAAACTCCCACTTGTCCTCCTGGCATTACGGGGAGCTGTGGCATCTCACGTACCTTCTCCCCCAAAAATGGCTCCTGCAAGAGACCCAAAGATGCTGGAGCACTGGTGTCAGAGAGGGGCACCGCCAGACGAACTGCAGCCCCGCGTGCTGACAGACAGGTGGGTTCAGGACATGCTGAGGACGGTGTCAGATACATACCACCAACTCGCCTCAGTGCAGGAGGCCAACATCCACAAGATGGATAAGCAGCTAGGAGTGCTGCTGCGCCCCGTGGAGTGGAACACAGGGGACCTGGTAACATATCGGGGGGTTAGAGAGAAGAACCAGGAGCTGGGACCCCAGTGGATGGGACCGGTTAGGGTTGTGAACAAGGCCAGCTCCTCCATGTACCAAGTAGAAATCAGAAAGGGGGCAAAAAGACAGGAAAAATGGTTCCATTCTTCACAGTTAAAAGCATGGAAGGGAAATTAACGGGGCTGGAGAGCCCGCTTTGCTTATGTTTTGCAGATGAAGGAAAATGGAAGGTGATTGTGACCAGCGGGAAAGGCGAACTTCGTGGCATCACCATCCCTATGTGTGCTGCAGGGAAAATGCTTTCAAATTTGTGGTTGCAGGATTTGCTTTGATTTCTGGTATGTCTATAGTGCTGAGCATGCAACATGCCCAACCAACCCACCAGCACCTCCAAGAAAAAGTCAGTTCCAGCTTAGACACAACCCCCAGCAAAAGGGCCACAGCCCAGCACAGGGTCAGGCGGTATGTAAAAATTGGCACAGATTGGCCTTGGTCTCAAGCTCATGTGAAATATTCAGGTAGTATGGGATTAAATTCTAACAGGCGCTTAAATTTGTCAACAGTGGTTATGCATGGGACTGAAGTGTATTTGGAAAACGAGTGGAGCTGGGATAGCACCAGCAGGCTTCCGCAGCTGCTGGGGAAGGTGGGGCAAGAAATTAAAGTAGGATGCAGGGTAATTAATGGTTCCACTCATCAGCAGGTGACTCAAATCTCCGTAACTGAAATAAAAACCAAGAAGAGTCAGAAAAAAAACTGTGCCCTGGAAAAATTGGATTGTTGGTGCAACTTTACATTAGTCCAGCCAGTCTTTGTGGTCTGTCTCTGGGCCCAAAACAGTGTGGGGTTGTCATTTAAATTCAAGATTGTCACCACGATGCGTTCACTTGCTGCCCTTAAGGCCCTGAGGTGCCACTTTTTGGCCTGGCATGCGGCCCAATACGCTGAAGTGGGGAACCAAGTAAAATTAGAAATTAGATACTCTCAAGAAAGTGTAACTGATGCAAAGCGAATTAATGGCACCACTGTGACTCTCACTGCTCCTAACAGCCGTAAGTGGGTTGTGCCAGTAAATTGTGCCCCTGAGAGCAAAACACTTAGTAGATCTGAATTAAATGCAGAGACATCATGGTATAGCCAGGATTATGGATACTGTTCACGTCCACTGAAAAACCTCCAAGTGTGGTGTCAAGGAAAGCTGAGTGTAGAAATGTCTCCCGAGCTTGGAGGAAAGTGGTTGATAGGAGGCCCCGAAGGATTTCAAAAAGAGTTTCCCATCATTGCTGTCCTGCGTCCCTTTGTTTCCAAGATAGGCCCATACGTAGTCAAGCAAAATCACATCCAAGAGCTGCTGACCAGCCCTGTGCGATCACTGAAGAAGGTGGTGCTGTCCCTGTCCACTGCCAATATTTCATCCGTCAGACCGCACTGCGCTCCCTTTCTGTCCACCCTCTACACCGGCTGGCAGGCCTGGCTTCACAGCCGCTCCATGCAAGAGGCCCGCACCAGGAGAGACCTTCTGGCCACAGCCCTGGGAGGAGGAGGTGCTGGGCTGGGAGTGCTCAACAGCATGAACGTTGAGGTCTTGGCCAACAAGCTGGAGGCTGTCACCTCAGGCGTGCAGGGCCTCCTCAACCCCCTGAATTCATCCCTGGCCAGCCTAGGGATGGGGCAGTGGCTTGTGTCTGAGGTGCTGCCTACCTGGGAACACATAAGTGAGAAAGACCACCAGGTGTTGTTGCAAGCACTGGGAATCGAGCAAAATAATGTCTCCCTTGCTCTTAGTTGCATCCAGGCCCAGATGTGGGTGCAGAGTGTCGTTGCAGGTATCCTGAGGGATGGTGACAACGGCATCCTCCCCACCGAGATCCGAAAGATCGTGTGGGACTCAGCCACGGAGAAGGAGCGGCAGCTCCAAGCCTGGTGGAGGCTGGTGAACTTCACCCACGACCAGGTCCTCAACTCAGTCATCGCCTACGTCCTCACCGTGGTGGAAGCCCGCATCGAAAAGGTCTACCCCATCGTGGCCCTGGGGATTAGCACAAACGGGTCCGTGGTCTATCCCCTGGACCACCGGATGTGGGCAAGAGTGTCAGACAGAAAATGGCAATCTGTAGATCTGGAAGCCTGCATCTTGGAACGGGGCCTGGGATTCATATGCGAAGATGATGCCCTTAAGGCGAGCGATGTCTGCTTTGACACCAGTGAGGGGGTGTGCCATTTTGAGATCAATCCTGGCAGCAATAACAAAACTGTGTTAGTTTACGTAGGGAAAGGGTGTGTATGCTTTAGAACAGTGTGTAAATACGTGCAAATTAATGACATCTACAATCAGACCGTATTCAATGATTCAAATACGTGTGCTTGCAATGTAGCTATTATTAGAGGCTGTGATTTCGTGTATAAGCCACCAGTTTTTACTAGCCAATTGCTAATCAGAAACTATAGCCTTTATCGTAGTATAACCCCGACCCCAATCGGTATGGATTTGTCTCTAGTAAAAGAAATGTTAGAGCATGCAAATTTACAACAGCTTTTAGAAAATGCTAAGGCAGAAGCTAAAAAGATCCTAATAACTGTACATCATGATGGTAACGTTATAAAGCAGGTAGTGGAACGGATTAAGAGGGTGGGAGAGCACCACTGGTGGGAAATTTTCTTTGGCTGGTCCCCAACAGCGACCGGCGTCTTCAACGCGCTCCTGCATCCTGTTGTAGTCATACTGCTAATGCAAATCTGTGTGTGCTTTGCCATGGTTGCTACTTGTTACTGGATAAGGCACGTGAGGCTCTGCATTGAGAACCACCTGAAAGGACTGGGGCTGGCCAAGCGCCTCCTGCCATAGTCAAGGGCAAGACTGGGTTGGCCTCTGTGTTTGCCACCAAGAAGAACCTTTAGCTCCGCTGTTGGCTGCAACCCAGTAGGCGTTGAGCGGTGGGGACACAAGCCATACCAGACCTTGATGTGAGGGGGTTACCTCTGCTGTCACAAGAGGGCCATCCAGGAGCAGAGGGCGGGCCGTGCAGCCTGCCGGTAGGTGTGAACCACAGAATGGTTGAGGTTGGAAGGGGCCTCTGGAGGTATCTGGCCCGATCTGCCTGTTCAGGCAAGGGCACCTAGAGCAGATTATCTAGGACTGTGTCCAGCTGGGTTTTGACTGTCCTTACAGTGGAGACTCTACAACTTCTCTGGGCAACCTGTTCCAGTGCTTGATTACCCTCCCAGTAAGAAAGTAAGAATAACTTCTCTCTGAATATCTCACTCCCAAATGCTAATGACAAAAAGCTGCTTTTGTGTGATTTAAGACTCCTTAAGCGGAGGAGAAGAGGTTAGGGAAAGCCAAGGACAGTGCTTCTGGAAGGATACAGAAGGGAACATAAAACCTGAGTGCAGAAAAGCAGAATCAGAAGGTGGCAAAGGTGCTATCAGCCTCAGAGACTTGGAAAGCTGATAGAGGAGCAAAACCAAAGATCGCGTGATCACCTTGGACTTAAAGGAGCTGAATCCACATGGACCTTTGCAGCAACCTTCTCTGGGTTCCCAAGACTCCCAAGACGTCTGGCCAACGGATTGGTGAGGTCTTGTTCTTGGAGCCTGGACATCACTGCTTTGCTTTGCTTAGTTGTGCGTGTAACCAATAAAATCTGTTAGAGGATGGACTGTCTATTTCATCATTTCCTGCTCACACCCCACCCACATTTATAGCTTTAGGTATCCTGTAGAAGAGAAATTCTGGTAAAAAGAAAAGATGTGCTCTTTTTCTCCTTTTTCCAGGCCAAACTCACTCCCTTGCTATTTGTCTGCAGAATACTCACTGAAACAGGGGGAATTCTACATTGAAGAGCGGGGCTCTGAGTTGACATTACAGCTCACATACAGACACAGTCTCCTCTTTACTCTGCTTCTCCTGTCTGCAAGCTCTGTCTCTAAAATGGAAAGGAGCTTTGAAATGTATACAGGGGGTCTCAAACAACTTTATAACATTGCCAATTTCAAAAAATAAATCAACTACCTCATTTCCAGCCCATGTGTCCTATCTCATCTCAGAGGTCTGCTCTCTCTGGGTTGGGATGCATTACACTGACAAAAAGCCCTCTCCACATATTCACATATAACACCTTCTTCAGTCCCAAACTTGCACCAGGAAAGAGCAGAAATGCAAGGATTAGTCCAGAGATTATGGTACAGCCATAGGGAAAGGGCTTCCTATATCTGTATTTTCACTGAGCAGAGTCCCTACATGGCTCCTGGATGCAGCAGCAGCATCCTTTGCAGCTGCAGAAAGCTGCTGCCCTCTGCATCAATCCAAGGACCGTTTTCATACCACCTCCATCCACTGGTGAAACTAACACAAGATGGTGTGATTAAGAACTAAATCACAGGGCAATCAAAATGACTTTGTTGCTGCAGCTGCTCTCAGCAGTTTGAGCAGTGGGCAGGAGTCACAGGAACCTGAAAACAATCATAGAACTGAGGTTGAAAAATCCTCTAAGCTCACCCAGTCCAATCAGCACCCCATCCCCACCATGCCCACTAACCCACATCCCTCAGTGCCACATCTACCCAACTCTTGAGCATTTCCAGGGACAGTGTCTCCACCACCTCCCTGGGCATCCTGTGCCGATGCCTCACCACACTTTCTGATTATTTTTTCCTAACATCACACCTGAACCTCTCCTGAAAGAGAACAGAAAGGCAGGAGATTACTCGGAATTGCACAGGCTAGAAGAAAAAGGAGAGAAAAAAAAAAATAACACTCTTCCAAATACATGCCACTTCTTCCCAGCATCTCTAGAAATAATGTGGTGCTTTATTCAATAGAGAACCACGGGACTGTTGAAGATAAAGCTGTCCCCTGCACACCTGTAGTTGCTGCAGTGCTCCATGTACAGCCAACAGCAGTGCAGGAGCACAGGTTGTGGCTGCAGCCACCTGGGTATGGTGTTGCCTTTCCTCAGTTCGTCCAGCATGGTGATGAAGGACCTGGCTGATGGCAATACGTGCGCACTGTCTGGAGCACAAACACAAGTCAGTCCTGCTGGGGGCTCCCATTGCTTTATCACGGAATGGCTTGGGTTGGAAGGAACCTTCATTGAGTTTCAATGCCCTGCCACGGACAGGGCTGCCAACACTAGATCAGAGTGCCCAGGATCCCATTCTGTTGGCAAATACCGCAGCATAGTCACAAAGATACATGCTTGCTGATGTTGGCCTGCACAGCAACAGCTTACAAAATATTATTCAAAGAGAAAAGAAAAAGACCTGCTGGCCTCCACAGCGCACCCACTGATATGCTGTGGAAAAGCACAGCACCGCTGTCTGTCCTCCCTTCATGCTTGTCTGCAAAGCTGACGGATAACCTTAAAACTCAGTCAGTCGCTAGAGACAGCGCAGAACCCCATCGTCTGAATCGCAACGAAAGATGACGCAGACACGAGGTGAGGCTGGGTGAGCCTGCGCTGCAGAGCCTCAGCTGGACACCAGCCCTCGGCTGTGCACTCACCTCTCTTGCTTGCTGATGCTTTTTGCTACACTGTGTGCAGGGTAGGACGATGAAAGGCTGTGTGTGCCCTGGCACCTGGCAAGCTTGCTGCTGGGTGATGCTCAGCCTGGCCTGGGTGGTGCCACACCTTCACCACAGGCACCGTGCTTGGGTTGGCATGCAGCGAGTGTGGCCTGAGGTCTTCCCCTGCTAGGCGAGAACTGGAAGGCTTGCAGCCTTGAGGGGAGCTTACAAACAGGAAGAGACTGACTTTTTATGTGTTCTGAGAGTGATAGAAAAAGGGGGAAATGGATTTAAAATCAAAGATGAGAGATTTAGTTTAAAGGCTAGGAAGAAGTTCATCTCTCAGGGGTTGATGAGGCACTGACACAGGTTGCCCAGAGAAGCTGTGGGTGCCCCATATCTGGAACAGGTGAAGTTCCTCTGTTTATTCAGCCAAAAGCAGAGGAGACTGAGGGGAAAATTCAAGGCAGCTACAGCTCCTCCCAGGGAGCAGGTGGGGGTTAGGGAAAAGGTCTGCACCAGAGGGGTGGAACGTAGGGCATGGAACAGGCTGACCGGGACAGTGGGCACAGCCCTGGGCTGCTGGAGCTCAAGGAGTGTTTGGACACTGCTTTGAGACACGGGTCTGTGTTTTGAGCAGTCCTGTGGGGAGCTGGACTCCATGGCCGTTGTGGGTCCTTCACCACTGGAGTGTTCTGTGACAGTGGAAGAAGTGAAAAGGATCAAGTGTGAAGGAATTGCTGATGCACATTCAAGCACAATATGCATCAGAGGTACAAAGGTGTCTTGCTACAGAGCCCTGAAAACTACACCAGGGTCACACTGCCAGAGTTATTCGCCCAGGAATTCCAGGACGTAAGCAGATGTTGCGGCTGATGTCAGCCAAGGTGTTGCCTAAGAAAAAACAAAGAGAGTTGAAGGCATCTTCCAGAGCCTTTTGGTCTTAGACTTGCATGAAGTTGTAGCAACACCTTTAACGACCTCTAAGAACTGGGCCACAGAGCCAAATCTTTCAAGATGCTGAGAAGCCTGACATCTCTGTGGTCCCACTACACCTCATCCAGGTGGCTGACTTGACCAGAAAGATAAAAGTGCACTGTGCAACTGAGAAATGTTACTGTGGCAACCTGGGAAACACAAAGCATGAGACAGATCAGTGCTGGAGGGGAAGCAGAGCAAGGCAGAGTGATTCTTTAAGCACAATAGATGGATTTGAAAAAGGCCAAAGGCAGGGTAGGAAGGAACAAGCATATGTAAATTCACCACGGCTTCTCCATCGTGTTCTTGAAGCTTGGACTTAAAGAACAAATATTTCTGGAAAAAAGCTTCACTATAAAGTATCATATACATCTATTTCTCACAGCATCCTATTGACAACGTGTGTGGTTCAGACCAAGGAGCTAGAATCTATAAAGCAGATGGATTGAAAACGCACTAAGCTGTAAGGAAGACAACTGTATTTAAACTCCTAAATAACAAAAGTAGTGCAGTGCAACAGCAGCAGTGTCAGAACACCACTTTGATCAGTTCCACTGTTAATTCTAAGAAATCTTACTTCCTTTTGAAGATTTCTTTTAAATCCCCTCTCCCACCCACAGACAGTTTTCAGTTTTCCCCTCAGATCTCAGAGGAAAAAAAAGCCACAGTGCATCAATTCTTTCACCTTACCCTGCTGAAGTTTTGGTTTTGTTGCGAACACTGATGTCTCAAGTAGAGAAATAGCTGGGACCTGCACCCACAGGCTCAAGGAGGACTGTAAATGGAGAGTCTGTTCTTCTGCCTGGTGTTGCCCTGCTCACAGAGTAAAATCTGACTATGATGCAAGTGGTACTCAGCACACTGAGCAAAGCAGACTGCTTCAGGAGTTCAGACTTGGGAACCCCAAACGTCCATCACCAGTGGAAATAGATATTGATGCCTGAGCAGCAGGGTATGCCAGCATGCACGTAGCAGCAAACCTGGGTAGGCATTTCCCTGCAGCTCTAGGAAAACTGTTTTCTTGATTCAGAAAGTTCAGTAGAAGTTTATGCCTGAACCTTTGCTCTGCTAGAAATAACCACTGAAATAACAGTTCATTGCTTCCAGCTGGAAACCAAATTCTCTGCAATAGGAGACAGTTTATTTGGAGGTGGGGAAATACTCTTGGTTATACGTCTCGTTTCCTACAGAACGATTCACAGCACTGCACCTGCTTCTCTCATTTACTTTTTTGAGGGACCCATTTTTGCAATACCCACATTTTTCAGCAGTGTAAGTGCAGACCTGCTGTAGCCCGCATGGATTACAGGGAGCCCAGGGCTCTCATCTCTGCTCAGACAATTCAGCAGGTTGGGTACAGTAAGGGTGTGCCTCCTAGGCCAAGGGTAGGGTTAACTCACCAGGTGCCAGCATTCACCATGCCCCCCTGAAACCACAGCCCCACTTGGGGCATGCAAAATGAATTCAGCAGTCCTTCCTATTATCTTCAGGCTTCAAATGAGAAGTGAAATTGACTTCTGGCTTGCTTTACAAGATGTCCTATTGAATTGTGGTGTTTTTTAAACACATTAGGATCTCAAAAGAAATGTTTTCCTGTACTGCTGCAGACATAGAAGGGAAAACAAACTATTAAGAAGTGAGATATTTCAGAAGAGCATGTTGCTTTCAGGGAGAAACCCCTGCACCTGCTGCCAAAATTCCACAGGGTCACCAGGTAGATCTGCTGCTGTATCTGTCCAGGTGTGACAAAGATCCACGACTCAGTTTGTTTCTCAAATCAGAACAGATAAATTTAATGAGAGTAAGAGATGAACAGAATCAGCTGCCAATGCGGATTCCTCTGCTACTAAGAAGAGGAAAAAGAAAAGACATTCACAGTGAAGGGCAAATAAAACCATCAACCCATATGCCTAATATTTTTAAATGTCTAGGCTTGGAAATAATTATCATCAACATTAAAGGCTAAGAACAACACAGTGAGGAAACACAACCAGATGACTTCAGAAAAATGAGCATCACTTATCTGAATTCAGGCTGTATTTTTGCATGCTTCTGGTAGACGAGAACCTGCTACGTCCTGTTTGCAGCATTTACATAAAAGATTAATCACTGCTTCACCAAAATACAGCAAGAGTGCTTCTTTCAGGATCTTATTATCATCTTTGATGCCAAGAAAGGTGTGGAGTTATGTTTAGAGTAGCAGATGCATGTGTCCTGCACATAGTTTGTACTTTTTTCCAGGTAGGGCAGGACAGCGTGGAGTTCAAACACAGATTTGGAAGCGATCACTGACAGAGATTAACTCCCAAATGATGCTTTTGCTGTATTATCAGAGCCGATCTCCTCCTGACTTCCAACACTGCAAGTCTTATTTCAAAAGCAAGTAAATTGACACTTATTTCCCTTCAACAGAGCTTTTTCTTTTGTATATGCAGAATACCACATCATGGCCTTACTTGACCACTCAGATCTGTAACTTCATAACCAGAAACCTAAAGCCAAGATTGCAACCAACCACAAAACAAATTTATAAGAAATAACACACCAAAAGCCCACACTACATTATTCTCAAGGCTTTTGAAACAACTTCTTAATGCAAGACTAAAACAAACCAGACAATTCAAGGCTTGAGGGCCTTGGTCTTTACCCCATCCCACACTACAACAACCCACAACAAAAAGTTTCAGTTGGGCAGAGCTGCTGAAAGCAGCAGCTCAGCACAGGTGCCTCTACAAACAGGCTACCAGTGGTGCAACCTGACAACAGAATGGCTTTCAGACCCACATCAAAGCTAAGGAAAAGCTGTTCTGCAACCTGAAGGCACTGGGTGTTACTAAATGGTGTCTCGTGACATTGCTTTTAGATGCATTAACTGGTGTCCTACATATGTTCTACGTGCCACAACAATGCAAACCTGTTATGAAGGAAGCTCTGGTGACACTATTTCAAATGCAAAGCATTGCTGGTTCTTCAGAGCACCGAGTCACAAATCTACCTTCATTCTGGGATCAAAAGCCTTCCTCACTCTCCTTTAAAAGCAGTCAGTGGAATGGTTACAGATATGGCTTTGCCTGGGAGCAATGTGTGCCCTTACAGATCTTACCAAGGTTACATACCTTCGTAGGAAAAAAAAAAAAAAAAACAAAACCACCACAGTAGGCACCATTAATATTAGGAAAATAAAGCTATACATTCTGATGAATTTCCAAGAGTGTTCTGTAAGCTACTGACTCTTGCTTGAGGCATTTTCAAGAAGAGCCTTCATACTTTCAAGTTTGCATCACTACAATGGCTGTTGTACAGGTAACATCATTAAAAACTGATGCATGCCTACTACCAACCATTTGCAGAAGACAGGCTTTTTCTCACTGCCAAGAAAACCCCAACTTTGCTTAAAAAAACAAAACAAAACAAAACATAAAACCACCAAATGAACCAACAAAAACCACAACAGCCATAGTATGATACAAAATAGTAAAGATAACCTGCAAATCAGAGCGGGCTCATGAAGCTAATCAAAACCTCACCAGAATATAAAGCCAGAGTCCTCCCAAAATGCCCCATGTTCTGTTTTGATCTCTATCTGGGACGTCTGTTGATTCTTTACGCGCTTTTTTCTCTGTTTCTTAGCAGGTTTTTTTTTAAGCCTTTCATCTTTATTAGGTCTTGATTTCTTCTCATTTACTAAGTCTACATCAGGTTTAATTCGCTTTCGTTGCTTTCTTTCTTTCTCCAAATCTGCACCTTCACTATCTTCCTTTCTTTTCAGTTTTGAGTCTTCTTTCTTACACCTCAACTCTTCGCTGATGTATTTTTTCTCCTCAGTATATTCTACCTGAAGGTTCTGCTCTTTTCTGTAGGAGATGCTAAACGTTTCAGCGAGCACAAGTTTGCAATACTCTTTAGATTCTACAGCTGACAGACCAAAGCCATCTGTGGTGGCAGCTGCCCCACATGCTTGCCCTTCTACACAGTGTGCTGCATTATACTGACAATTTGCTCTATTTTCTTGTGCATGCTCACCAGCTGATGAGCAACGTGGTGATCTGTTTTTCCCAGTATTTGTAGGTGTCTGGGTTTCTGAGAAAAGGCTGGAATGCTGGTCTTGTTCACAGATAAAGGCTGAAGGCTTAACCTCACCAAGGCTTCCATCTTGAAACTCTTCTGCTATTCTCAAATCCATTCTTTCCTCAAGACATGTGGCTTCCTGAGCTTGAAAGGAGTAGTAAGTTTTCTTTGATCTCTTTCTGAGACTGCGAATCTTTGTCGCTCTGCATAAACTGGATAGAAAGAACAGTTACTAATACTGATCAACTTGCTTAGGATCTGTTGAGTTAGCCATGAAGGCAGAGAGACATGCATAATAAAGCTATTTCCAGAGCTACAAGAAAGGACCTATTCCAAGTGTGCTGTCCTGTGTATCTACATGAAACCTCTAACACAAGAGTCTATCTGCAAAACCCAACTGAAGTTACAGGGAATACATTCAGTCACACTGCTGTTATGCTATACTGCACCTTCACATAAAATATGCCTTCCCAACCACGCTTAACAGGAGTGAAATTTTGACATTTGGCCCTCACCGAAGAGCAATCTCAAAAAGGCAGTGATAAAAGGTGTGCAATTGCCATTCCACAGTTAAGAAAAGCTACAATCTCTTCTTTAGGTTAAAGGGAAAGGAAGAGCTATCATCTATCCCAAACAACATCTGACACCAAACACAAAACAAGATGCATGATGAACCCTTAATGTGACACAGTCTATGGAGACTTTCCAGTATTAGAGCCTTATTTACTGTCAGTAGGAATCTTAAAGTTCAGACCATTTCCCAAAAGACTGACTAAGCACAGAAGACACTGTGCCAAAATAGGTGCTACTGTTTTCAAAGAAGCAAATATTTGGGAATAGAAAAGTATGTGAAAAAACCACAACTTCCAAAACCTTTTCTGTGAGCTGCCATTGAAGATGCACGTGTGGCAACTCCAAGACAGAACATCAGACATAAGCAGAAATTTAAATGGACAGTGACTCCTAAAGACAGTAAAACTAAACAGAATCAAGTGGAAAAAAAACCAACAAAATAATGATTAAAAAAAACAGTTAACTGGAAGGTCTTCGACAGCACACAAAAGGGCTAATGAAGAAGCAAAGTCTTTCATAGGAACTTGAAAGCATGTGCTACAGGGTAACAAAAGGCTTCCTGACTTACCTGGTCTTGTGCTTTTTTCCTTGCATGTGGGACTGGTACTCATGTATAGTTGTAAGTATAACATTGCAAACAGGGCACATGTAATGGCCAAGCCCAATCACAGAAAAGAAGGAACCTGTAAGTTAGAAAGACTACAAATGAAGGCCAAATCCAAAGCATTTCACAATAACATGTAATATCAGGTTCCCCAAACCAGCTCCAGAAGAGATACAAAGACTCTGCTGCAAGGTAACTCAATTTTACACACCAACAGCATTCATAAATGGAGCTGCACTGCTGCAGTGTAACCATTCTTCAGACGTTGAGGAAGTTGTCAAACACTGTGTTATGACACACCATGCAGAGACTTTGACAGATCTAAGTTAAGGTCAGATGAGGAGAACCTTATGCCTTCCAGGTCGTCACGTTCTCCTCTCCCACACGCTGCGAAGATTTAAACGTATTAAACAAACAGAACAGCAAATAATGTTTTCCCCAACACAAACCCAGGAGCTTCACATATTAGCAAAATGCAGCACGGATTCCAGTGGACTGCTGCATTGAACAAAATAGATATTTATTCTTTTGTCTGGTGGATGAAAAGCTGGACAGGATGCAGCAGTGTGCACTTGCAGCCTGGATGTCCAACAGTACCCTGGGTGACGTCGAAAAAGGGGTGGCCATTTTAAGGCACCATCTGGAGCTGTGAGTCCAGGCCTGGTGGCCCCAGCACATGAAGGATGAGCACATGAAGCAGAGCTGTTGGAATGGGTCTGATGGAAGGCTTAGAAGAATCAGAGTCATAGAATTGCTCAGGTTGGAAAAGACCTTCAAGATCAAGTCCAACCACAACCTAACCACATGACCCTACTGCTAACCTAACTCATATTACCCATTGCATTATATGTGTCACAGAAGAGAATTTTATCCTTCTTGTAGATACATGGAATCAGGGGAGATTTTTGAAGGAATCTCCAAGGGAATTATTTGCCATTTTGTAAACTATTGAATTATCTCACTTGTTATCTTTTAATGCCACCATGGTAGATCAATTTAATAGAAATAGATTAACATGCCTCTAAGTTATCTTACAAAAAGAAAAGGCTGCAGGTCCTACTCTCCTTTTAAATCTGTTGTTTAATAGCATTCAAGAAGAGTCTTTAATATTAAAGCTTTTTTTAAACAAAGTGGATTGTTACCAAGGATAGAGATGTTTTTGTTTTGCTGCCTAGTCAGTCAATAATACTGCTAAACATAAAATTAAAATGAAAATCTAGTTTCCTGACCTCATGTTTGTCACTGGTAGGTCACAGAAAGAACTAAAAAGGAGCTGGTATAGAAAAGGTGTGAAAGAACTTCCTTAATCCTCAGAAACATTATCTGAAAGAATGATTTTTGAGAAGTTGCTTTTCTGCTTTCAAAATTGTGCTTCAGCACATAGGCAGAAATGATTGCTTCAATCACAATTCCAAAGAACTGAAACTAAACTGTTAATTTGGTTCAGTTCTTTATTCAAGTGTCACATTCATTGTCTTCTGTTATACAACTTCATACCAAATGTATTGTAATATCTTAAGTCTGTTACATGATATCTTTTCTATTTCACATCTTGTGTTTCATTTTTCTTTCTTTCAGAGGTAATAATGTTGGCACAATAGTGTGTGTAACAGCTCTATTTATCACGCAATCTGTTAGTGCATACATTGTAAACTAGAAGACAGTAATGGGGCCTTTGAAGGCTTGAGAATAACAACCATTTAGGAAACAAGTTTCCTTGTGGGGCAAGACTGAAATAATTACAGCTATCAGGTTGGTGAACAAAGATTAAGGGAAGGCATGAATGCAACAAAAAGGAAATGAACAATTCGATTTTTATGTCTGCTTCTTGCTCTGCGCAGAATGAAGAGAGACACTGCAGTCATAGGGTGTTGATTTCAGTGTCAGTAAAGGGGTTTAAGATCAAGAAGGTAAAGCTCAAGAATTCTTGGGAAATGTTTCCTGTGGAGGTTGTTGTGGAGTTTCTAGCACAGAAGGTCTTAAGATTGATTTGATCCTGGCCTTGGAGTTAAGAAACTGAGCTATTTTTTATAATCTCTTTGACTTGACTCCAGTGAGTCAAATTATGGATTAGTGTCTCAAAGTCAATAGGAAATATCTTGCCATCTAAAATTGCCAGAGACAAAGAACTTCAGGATGGCAAACTAAACAGAAAGGAGGAACTGAACTTGTTAGCCTTCTCCTTTGCTACAGGACATTTCCCTGCAAACATCAGAGCTGCCCCTTGAACACTCAAGCTGCCCTCACTTTTTCACATTCTGCTTACCAGTTGTTCTGGATTCTCTGGGGACAGGTTGGATTCCCAGCTCCTCCATTATCTTCTTCCGTGCTGCATTTTTTCCATGTTTTTTACCAACATAATGTTCCTGCGCTGAGAATGGACTGTTGAAAGGAACACAGCAGAGCCAGCAGTAGTTCAGATCCAAGCTTGCTTTTGGAGACAATGAAGGCACCTCAGTTTCTGAAGGAACAGAAAACTCATTATTAGATACCTGTATTAATAGCTATGTGTTTGATGGCTGGTCATTCTAAGGTCCAAGAAGAAAGCTTTACCCTACAGAGGGTGATTCAGAGCACATTTGCTATGCTCAATCCTGAAAGCAACTCGCACAGCACTCACACCAGTTCACTGTTGCATGTGGACTAATTTTTTTTTTAATTAAATATGCTAAGTTTGGACCTCACTTAATATTCAGAGCAACAGTAAACATGTCCATTAATAATCAGAAATATTTGTCTTTAGTTAGAAAGATAAGAAACTTGAAGGCAGGCTTCCCTAGCTTCAAAGCTCTACAGGGTAGTCACAATATTTCTGTCACCTAAGGAGTTACCACATGACAGCTCTGTGACTTAGGCAGAACGGAGAAGCATACAGACATGCAGGTGTAGGACAACACCTCTTTATATCTGTTGCAGAAGGTGACAGGAAAATACACGCAGTGCAAACTTAGTTCTTACCAGAAACAGGTTGCATGCTCTGTGCTTCCATCAGGCCTCTCCTTTCCGCTAACTGCCTCAGCTTTTTAGCATGGATCTTCCCCTGGAGGTGAGACAATGCAACACCTGGGGAAATCAAAGTTATGTTGCAGATATTACAGTACTTATTCTGTACTATCCTTGTTCCATCCATCTGAAATTAAGCAAAGGCAAGCTCAGTTACACAAGCATTCACTGAAAGACAAGAAAGCACTTCAGATCACAGTGAAGAATAGTCACCTGAAAACTGGTACAATCCATTATTTCTTTCTTTTTGTCATGCCTCATTCTCTCATCCTTCCTACCATGACTTTGGACATAAAAATAAACATTCTGAGCATGCTTTCTGCCCTGAAAAGAAACTAGAATTACTCCTGCTCTATTAATAGGGGGCCAAGAAGTGGTATATCCAGCAACAGGAATCTCATTCATCCAAAACAGGTCTGAGGATTCAATAGCCCAAGCATCTGAAATTGGGTGTTATGCGTACCTCCTTCATCTGTGATTACTTTTTAATTCTTAGATGCTCTCTCAACACATAACCTTCCATCTCTTGCACTTTTATAGTGTACTTACCCACACGTCACACTATATACAGGTAACCCACAAAGCCAAACAAGTGATCTGTCCTCTCTAATCTAATCTGATGATTTCCAAGAGTCTGGTAACGATTCTGAGAAGCAACATTAGGAAATCTTGACAATATTAACATGAGAAAGAGGTGCTACCATACTTGACTAGACAACATCACCAAACCTGGAAAAAAAAGAGTCTTGTTTTCATATCAATTCATCCTGAAGTTCTGATTTCACCATTACAATCGCATCTGTTATGCTCAACTGGACTTGGATCCTGGAAACAGAAATTCCAGCTGAGGGTCTGAACTCTGTACTTCTGACAGTACAAGTGCTGCTTAACATAAATCAAAGTAAGGAAGCATTACACCTTACAAGACCTGAATACCAATTGATGAGAATAGCAAAAAAGACTCCTGAGAGCAACTGACATTTTAACTTCAGCAAGAAAATGAAACCTGCAAATTTTCAGGATTAAGTTTCAAAATAAAGCTCACTTTCCTATGTCTATAGCACCGTCCCAAGGCATACACTTGTTCCAAGAAACCTGCAGCATGATTCATACAACTTGCCTTGTGAAGACACTGCAGACATAGCAGCATGTGTGTACTGCTGGGTAAAGCATCAGGAGCACAACCCCTACTCTCTATAGTTAGCACTGCCCCATGCCACACTTACATCCTGGGTCACATGGTGCAAATCTGCTTCCATCCCATACACAGCATGGCCTGAACCTACCCAGTTCCTTCTACAACCGCCCTGCAACATGCAGGTGATTGCTCTTCACTACCACTGAACCCACATCATTCACAACCTTCAAGTCTGGCTAATGTCTAAGCCCAGCATAAGCTTTGGGAAAGGCTTTAAGCAGCCTTTTCTAACACCATACAGAAACCTCAAACAAACCAAAGCCCCAGTACTTGCTAGGAGAAATCCTCTCGTCCAGGCTACCTCATAGTGTGACATCCTTTGGGATTCAAACGGCAGCACCGCACAGCAAACCCTACAGAAAGTGTCTGTGAACAGGTGGTGCCTTGTTGCCTCATCTAATATTTCATCTGAACATCCTGGAAAAAAAACAAAACAACAAAAACCAGTCAGGAGACAGGACAAGATACACCTGCATGCCTTTGCTTACAAAACATTGACCACTTGAATATTCACACACAGCAGACGAGGGAACCAATGTTCATCCACTGAATCACACCATGCCTTGTTGTAGCCTCAGAGCAAGGCTGTAAAGCCACTTCCACCTTCCCACATACAGAGGTATTGCTCTTGTGGACTGAAAGAATATTACTGTGCATGTACTTGGTCTTCAGGTGCCTTAAAATCAAGGAAGATAAAGCTTCATTAGGTTTTCTGGTCATACTCTCAGATATACTAGACTAATGGCCTAAAATACAGGAAGTATTGTAGTTAGACTGGGTCACACACTCAAATATGGGAATACATTTTGAAGAAGAGACGTAAAGAAAGTCAGGGAGCAGCTCAGTGCATGAGATAAGGCCAACAGGTCTCAGAAGCTTGCAAAGGTTGCACCCATTTCCCATACACCGATTTATTTCTTTTAGTTATATGGAGAAAAACTGCTCCAATGAGTGCCACAATCAAAAGGGGTATGGAAATACCTCTGTCTGGGCATGGCTTACCATTGTTCCTTGATACATGAACACATTTCCTAATAAAAGCTTTATTTTCAGGAGTTACAATGGCCAGGTAACTACTCCTTGTTTTCTGTAGCATGAGTCATCCAGCCATATTCAATGTTCTACAGTTACTGATTTATACAGGTCACCCCTTCAAGCATGGGAGTGAAAGATGGACACAATAACAGGATTTGGTCCACACAAGAAAACCTAAAATTACTTGGTTCCTGGCATTAGTTGAAAACTTATCTTGCCCCTGAAATGCATGAATTGCCATAAAGCCCGTGATCTCATAACTTCAGACCCAAACCATATGAAAATCAGTACATATAAACGTATTCTTATTATTCTCTGTAGTCTTAGCTGCTTTTCTGGCAAACATATTTGCCCTGCACTTTGCATTCCTCTTCTGTCTTACAACAAACTGCATAGGATCATAGAATCCTTAGAGTTGGAAGGAACATTTAAAGGCCACCCAGTCCAGCTCAAATGCAAGGGACACCACAGCTAAAGCATGTTGTTCAGGGCCTGATCCAGCCTCGCCTTGAAAGCCTCCAGGCATTCAGCACATCTCTGGGCAACCTGTGCCAGTGCCTCACCACTGTTAACATAAAAAATATTTTCCTTATATCTAACCTAAATTGACCCTCTTTGAGCTTGAGACCATTTCCCCTTGTTCTATCACAACAGACCCTGCTAAGAGTCTGCCCCCTTCTTTCCTGTAGCTCCCTTTAGATACTGACACATCGTTATCAGGTCATCTCAGAGCCTCACCAGCACAGAGCAGAGGGGCAGGATCACCTCCCTCACCCTGCTGGCCACACTTGTTTTGATGCAACCCAAGATACAGCTGGTTTTCTGGGCTGCGAGGACACAGTGCTCATTCATATCCAGCTTGCCATCCACCAGCACTCCCAGGTCTTTTTTCATCCCCCAGGTTGGGGGATGAATTTGCATGAATGCAAATTCAGGAATAAACCAGTGCAACTCCCACTAAACCCTGACCAGGCTCCAAGTTGTAGATGGCCTTCAGTGTGACCCAGGTAACTGCAGTCCCCTTCCCACACACATCAGCAGTCCCCTTCACTAAATCACACTGCTCACTTCCAAGGAAGGGTTCAGAACAAGTTTGTCCCTTCTCCTTCTCACTGTGCTTCCAGACCATTTGTGACACACACAAAACTGACAGAGCATGGGGAGATTTATGCTACCGCTGTCTGCGCACAGCTTCTTGTATGAAAAGTAAGTTGAACTTGAGGTTTTCAGCTTTCAGATGCACAAGACATTTTTCCTGGCAACTGAGAGAAACTTAAAAACCAGCTTGCCTTGCTGTTCACAACCACATCATCAGAAACCTGTCAGATATTCAAGCAGAGGCCTTGCAGGACCGCTATTTTGACCCTGTCATTTCTGAGCAAAAAATCTTTTAAATAAAGCTACAGCTATCATCAATTCAGAACTATTCAGGTCAGCTTTGTATCATTAAAATGATGGTTCACTGCAAAACAGACCAGCTACTGCTTGTCACAGAGGGACTGCTCCTTAATAAAAAGACAGGAATAAGAACGCTTAAGGAAGAAGAGACAAGATTTCATATATGTGTATATATACATACTTCTTTTTTAACCATCATGCTACACAATAAAGTCAACTGGTAGGTTGCTAGACATCTTCCAGGGCAGCATGAAGAAGTGTAAGAATTTTCTCTGGTTTCTAGGCTCAAAATTCCCACTGACCAGACTGGTACCTTAGTAGGAAGTGGCCACGTTCTCAGTGTCACCTCACTCACAGTGAGGGCTGGCCCTGGGTGACAGAGATCAAGCAGATAAACTTCTTACCAGGTCTCTCAAATCTGTAATATTAATAACTGCACCACCACACCAGGAATCTCAGCCTGAGAATAACCACGTTATTCTCTCCAAGGCATGGCCACAAGCAGTGGGGTCACTGCACCTTACCAGGGTACCACCTGTCAGTCTCAGGCCAGCACCTGACAGTCCATGCTGAAGCCTGTCCCAGCCACAAATAAAATCATTTAATTCAAATCATGTGCACTGCACTACCTCACTTTAGTCCTCAAGCAGGAAGGGAGGAGCCTGCACACAGTGCATCTCCTCATCTCAGCTGTCCAGCAGTAATTTTATTTGGTGGCAAACTCTACTGCTTGTCATTAGGTGACTGTACTCCTCCTAAATAACAGCATGAAAGACGAACAAAAGCTTGAATTCTTAGAGTATCAGCTGCACAAAACTGGAGGCAGACCGCATTGCTGAAATCCAGCTCCTTTTGGTCACAATACAGCATGCAGATATGGTTGCTATGCAATGAAAGTCAGAAAGCAACCTTGGAAGTAAACGGGAATGGATATCCACAGACATCCAGCTGAGGGAGAGCAGACAAATGTAACAGGCTCTAAAACCCACATCGAACCCACTGAAGTGTGGTATTACAGAACTGAATTCCTGGATGAACCAGATGGATTTCCATTTCTGCAGCTGAGTGAAAGACATTCATCTAATGAAACAATATAGTAGCACTTCATTTTTGTTTTCTCAAGTGAGTTTAGTCAGTGTTGTATTTGTATTATTATTCTTCCCCTGTCAAAACTCAGGGGACTGCAAAACAAACAAATACCAAATTGGACTCTGTTCTTTGAAAACAAATGCTGAAAAACTGAACTGCCAGTACACTTCTAAAACTAGCTTCACCATCCAAAGCATACAGTTATGATTTTTCCCCCCATAGAACGGTGTAGAAAGATAACTTAAAAACATTTACAGGCATCTTCAAACGCCACATTCTACCACAAAGCTGACAAAGACATGTGCCTAACCCTGCACACAAGCACAGGCCTATGGAGCATACAACTACACCATCCAAATCAGGGTTAACTATTGCACTGCCCAGACACTGCAAAACTAAACTCAAAACAGAGCTAACCACTTTTTAGCACTGGAGAGACCCATGACCTGCCCTGACACACAATAAGAGGAGCTTACAATTGATGGTAACTGATTGCTCACCCTTTTGCCCAGGGTGAAACAGGAACAGACACTTCACTGGCTCCCTTGGACAGTGCTGTGGATGAAACAGAAACTGTTTGAAAGCATTAAGATAGAAATACAGTAAATCAATCACCCAGTTCCTTGCTTCTCTTCCTTTTTCTCCCTGCTGGCGCCCAGCCTCCTGTTCCTACTGCCCTCTCTGATCACCTCAAGGACTTCTGCTCCCTACATCCCAACACACCCAGCAGAGCCAGATCAGCACAGCTGAAGCAGACTGAAATCAGCCATTCTGCTTTTAGAAGAAAGTTTGCAACTTACTGCAGTAAAAGTGAGTTGATGTTTCAAAGCAAGCTAACAAACAAAACCAAAACCTTAGAATTTCAGAAAACATACTGAAGTTATTATTACTTTTAAAAATTTCCATGGGCATATTTAAACCCAGCTGCTCTCATTCAAAGGCAATCAAGATGTTAATTGGCACAACAGAAAGCTGACTGAAGTCTATGTGGGGAGGCTGGTTTCTCTTAAAGTAACATTACCATTAGATTAATTAACTACTGCAGGATAAGCTGTTAGTTTCCTTGCCAGGTATTATTTCCACAAGACAGCAGCCCTATTTCCCTATTTGCTCCTTGGGTCTCCTAACAAATACCTTTCCCCCATCTTGTATGCAGAGAATGAAGATTTGCAGAATACAAAAGGAGGGAGATAGCATGAGAATGTGCTACATATTGAATCTTGAAAAATCATGGTTGTAAACTACAGATTAACTGCACATTTATAGGTATCCAGTGTTCATACTTTCTTGCCACTGAGCCAAAAGAAACCCCTCAAAAAAAAAACATCCTTCCCCCCTAAAAAAAATATGTGTTTTAAAAGCATCTGGGTGTGCAAACAAATTAGCAAAAAATGTTGCCATAGAAAATTTCCAAGGCCAAAAATTATTTCTAGTTTTGTATTTAAGAAATGAATACCTCCCCTCCTTCCCCTAACAAGTATATAAAACCAGAAATTTTCAGTGATGCTCACATCATAGCTCTGTTTGGCATAGGACCTGCATAGACTGGGTTAATGGGCCAAGGTTAACTGTATGAGTTTCAACAGGACCAAGTGTCACGTCCTGCATTTTGGTCAGAACAACCCCAGGCAACCCTACAGGCTTTGGAAGAGTGGCTGGAAAGCTGCCTGATGGAAAGGAACCTTGGTGTACTGATGGACAGTCAGCTGAATACGAGCCAACAGTGTGCCCTGGTGGCCAAGAAGGCCAATGGCATCCTGGCTTGGACCAGGAATGGAGCGGTGAGCAGGACGAGGGAAGTCATCGTGCTCCTGTACCCGGCATTGGTGAGGCTTCACCTTGAGTACTGTGTTCAGTTTTGGGCCCCTCACTGCAGGAAGGACATGGAGGTGCTGGAGCAGGTCCAAAGAAGGGCAACAAGGCTTCTGAAGGGCTTGGAGAATGTGCCCTAGGAGGAGAGACTGAAGGAACTGGGACTGTTTAGTATGGGGAAGAGGAGGCTGCGGGGAGACCTTACTGCTCTCTTCCAACACCTCAAAGGTGATTGCAGTGAGAGCAGGGTTGATCTCTTCTCACTGGTGACAGGTGACAGGATGAGGGGAAAAGGCCACAAGTTGCACCAGGCGGCATTTACATTGGATATCAGGAAAAAACTCTTTACAGAAAGGGTTGTTAAGCACTGGAATAGGCTGCCCAGGAAGGAGGTTGAGTCACCATTCCTGGATGTGTATAAAAACCATTTGGATGTGGGCTCAGGAACATGATTTAGCAGAGGGTTGTAAGAGTTAGGGTAGTGTGGCTGGGTTGTGGTCAGACCGGATGATCTTTAAGGTCTTTTCCAACCTGGGTGATTCTATGATTCTATGATTCTACGATTCTATGATTCTATGAAGTGGCAACCATATAATCATAGAATCATATCATAGAATCATAGAACATCCTGAGTTGAAAAGGAACACAATGCTCATCCAGTTTCAACCCCCTGCTATGTGCAGGGTCACCAACCAGCAGACCAGGCTGCCCAGAGCCACATCCAGCCTGGCCATGAATGAAATATGTATGTATATAACCAGGGATCCTTGCTTTGTCTGGCTCAAAACATTCTGAAGTTCAGAAACATGACAACTCAGTTCAAAAAGTGTAAGTGAAAAAATGAATTTAAACCTAACCATAACAAGAGCACGTTCATAACTTGTCCCTTTGAGTATACATACTTTTTTTCCCCCAAAAGCCGGCTGCTTAAAATAGCTGTCAGTTTTTAAGCTAAGAGTGATTAATTCCTCTGGAGTTACTTCTGTTCAACAGAATACTACTAAATTTAACTGACAGTGGGGAAATCTGTTGTTAATGGATGTTTCAAATATTTCACAAAAGGCCATGTTTATGCATTGTTATTTAGGCTGGCTTGGTGTTTTTCAGTATCTAAAGTGTGTGGAGGGCTATAAGAAAGAAGACTCTAGCAGGGTCTGTTGTGGCAGGACAAGGGGAAATTGTTTCAAACTAAAAGAGAAGAGATTGGATGAGAGATTCCTCACTGGATATGAGGAAAAAGATTTTTAATGTAAGGCTGGTGAAGCACTGGCACAGGTTGCCAGAGAGGTGGTGGATGCCCCATCCCTGGAGACACTCAGGGTCAGGCTGAATGGGGCTCTGAGCACTGTGATCTAGCTGTAGGTGTCCCTGTTCATCGCAGGGGAGCTGGATTTGATGCCTGTAAGGGTCCTTCCCAACTCAAACGATTCTATGAATCGAACAGTCAGTGCTTAATAGCACGAACCAAAGCCTTTCAAAACACAAATACTGTATACCCATTATGAATGATTTGACATTCCTGGAAGCTCAGCACTTTTTTCACCCCACTTGCTAGATCTTTAGCAGGATGACGTCCCACAGATTTTTTGGGAAGGAGAGGACACGGAACTGAGATGTAACAGGAACTTTCCATCTGCAAGATTGATTTTCAGATCTCTGTCATAGATCCGATGTATGAAAGTACCCTGTTGGGCAGCCTACTCTCAGAAGTATGACGTTGGCTTATGAAGAAACTTTCTGAAGAACTGAAGGCCAGCTTTTAAGAGCTCAGAGCGACTTCGGACTTGTCAGACACCTTGCCTGCTCTTACACACCTGGGACACAGACAAGTCTCCCACTGCACTTTGCTCGTTAATTTCTGCTTTGGGTTCAAATTCTCGTTACTTTTAGCTACGGGCATCACACAAAAGGGAACACTTCACACATTTCACAGAGGGAACAGCACAAGTGCATTCCTGTCACATCACGATGCGTATTGCAGGGAGGACACGAAACAGCCGCTTCTCTTCCAGCAGGATCTTGAGAGAGCGGTGTGTTACACATCTAGCTTACACGGGGCACAGATCTGAGGCTGGAAATGAAATACACAAGGTTGTAACACACTGATGGATACCCCAACATGTGAGGCAGCCTCCACACGGGGGTCCTGTGGGTGACAGCTGGCTCAGAGCCTCGCCTTTTCCACACGGAGCTTCGCACCCTCACTTACAGCCCCTGGGACGGCGGGTGTGATCACACGAACCCCGCCGCCGCCGCTCACCTCGCCCTTGGGGCTGCCGCCTTCGGAGCCTCTTTGCGGCCCAGGGCCGGCTATAATTGAGCTCTGAGGGCCAGCACATCTCAGCGCTCTCCTCCCACGGCCCAGCCCAGCGCCGCTTCATCCTGACGGCCGGTTAAACCCCCTGCACGGCCGGCCCGCCTTCCGCCTCCCCTCAGGGCGCGCAGCCCGCCCCTTGCCCCGCCCAGAGCGTCCGCATCGCCGCCCGTGCTCTGTGGCACTGAGGATCTGGACGTGACTGCTGCAATTAAAAGTCAGACTGCTTTCAGCGGCTGATTGCTTCTGCTGATTTGTATGCACCGCACAGAATAAATATGAGCAGGTTCGTGCAGCCAGCTCTGTCAGCCTCAGTGGGAGCTGGAGTCGTGTGGTTCTAAGGAAATGTTGCTAATAATCACATGAGCACCTGGATCATCCTGAGTCCATAGAGCTGTGGATTGATATTGTTTGTGCTTGGCACGCTCAGGCAGACTGTAACTCAGGATAATGGAACTGAAGTGCAGTACTTCATTTGCAGGAAAGGAAATTCGCCAGAAGCTTTTCAGAGATGCGAAGCAGTTCTGAGACTGTCTTGAAGTGGACAGCAATAGTTCCCGTGTCTTTGGCTAGGCAAAACATTTCTTTTACAGCCAAGCGATGCACAAGAGTTATCCTCCTTTTCTCTCTGTGCCTCGCTTTCCCTGTTAATCCATTCTGTTTTTCTGTACAGCAAAGAGGTATTAGAAGAGCAAATAATGACATTTGTGTGGTGTATCTGTATCTGCTTCCTTTTCCAGAAGGAAACAATCAGGTTTCCCAGCAGTGGGAAGTTGAGATGGCCAAGAACCAGCCTCACAGAATGCTATTAGAGGAAAAAAAAATAAAAGCTAAATGAAAATCTAAACTGGGATCAATTTCTATAGCGAGATTAACTGCTGTATGTGGAAGCCTTCCTTTTTACATACACTGCCTGCTGGGGACAGAAGACAAAGCAAGGGACTGGGTTCTCTCGGGTTGTCCTGCATCCCCCTTTTACATTACAGTGGGGCAAATTCTCTGATAGAATCATAGAATGACCTGGTTTGAAAAGGCCCACAATGATCATCTAGTTCCAACCCCCTGCCATGTGCAGGGTCACCAACCACCAGACCAGGCTGCCCAGAGCCATATCCATCTTGGCCTTGAGTCATCTCTTCCAGTGTTGGAGGTAAGAAGCCCTCAAATGTTTTGTAATCTCAAAGTATTTATTGCATCCAGAAGTGTGCAAATATCTAAGATGTCCTTCTTATTTCTGCAGCTCGTGCCAAACCACTGCTGCTCTTCCAGCTCCTTCCACGCTGCTCTGTGTGCTTGCTGCTAATGTTTAGGAAGTGACGCTCCTTTTCCAGGCTCCAGTGGCAATGGAAGAGGCAGAGGATTGCAGGGCACGTGTTTCGCTGCTCTCCCTGCCTCTAAACACACTGTCCATCTCTTAGAGGGTAAAAATAAAGCAGCATTGTTTAATTTCTGGAAAAAGCCAGATGACAGTGGAAGGGGTCAAAAATACACATACCAGCACTCCCTATCCCACTGTCTCAGCTGTTGCTTCCTGAGAGACAGAAGCATGTGGTTGCTAAAAATACCCTTGCAAAGAGAATACATTCCCTCTCCTATGGGAGAGTATAAATTAGTCTGAGTCCTAACATACACAACTACTTGTGGCTGGGAGAAACAATTCCAAACGTGTTTTTTGGAGGGGGTTTCCTAAGAAGCAGAAGACCCGGCCCTGTGTAGGTCGGCAATAGTGCGTGGCAGATCTCCTCCTGCCTTTCGTGCTCCCACCCCCTCTCCCTCCTATGGGATACGGTGCAGCTGGGGGTGGGGGTAGGCCAGCCCTTTTATAAACGTGGTCTTGTGGCAAGGCGAAGTTGACAAGGGTGACAGAAGATTTGGCTCACTGCTCATACCTGGGAATGACCAGAGGGGGAATGGAATCAGTTGAAGTGTTCACGACTGAAGGCAAAGGCAGGGGCTTGAAAGCACAGAAGGAATTCTTGCCCGGAGATGTCATCTTTGCAGAGCCAGCCTACGCTGCTGTGGTTTTTGATAGGTAAGAGAAAAGGACTTGTAAAACAGAGTTCAGAAGTCATCTCAATGCAAAATTCATCTGGCTGGGTGGGTGAAAGCTTGAAAGTGTCTGGACAGTATCAAGAGGGGTGCGAAGGGAAGTTAGAAACACTTTTGTACTTATGCACTCCCAGCTTACAGTGATATCATTCCCAGGGCTCAGAACTGTTTTTTCACTTTATATACATGGCACAATCTGTTTTCAGGATGTGAGCTTGCAAGGTGCTCGATTCTGCCTGCTTTTGCCAAATGCAATGAAAGTTGCGTGTGTTCAGTGCCTCACAAAACTGGACCCATGCTACATTCCACTGAGTTGCAGGAGTAAATGTAATTCAGTGAGAGCAGTCTCAGACACTTTGCTGAAATCTCCAATGTATAATGTGTGATAACAGTGAGTTACACTGTGTTTTGCTCATGTGTGCCACCACCCAGAGCTGCATGTGTAGCTCCACAGGCAGCTGTCTTCAAACTGGAAGATCTACAAGTGGTGTTATTTCTCCTTAAGTAATTTCATGTTTATAACTAGCTAAGTTAACAGAAGTTGAGTTTCTACTTTCACTCTTAGACAGGAACAATTTGAACTTTTTGTTCATACTGATACAGCCAGAAACTGAATTTTGGTGCAGATGCCCTTTTCTTTTCTGCTGCTTATTTCAAGGGTGAACAGCACTTGATCAGCCTGTGCTGCCAGAGCAGCCTGTGGGTGCCTACTTCTGCCCTTCATATTAGTGGAAAATTGATTTAAATAGCCTGAAAGCTAAAAGACACAAAGAACCAATTTCTATGTTAACCTCCTGCGGAATGAACCTAGTCTAGAGCCTCTGATATAAATGGGATTTGTCCATCCTTATAATGCAGTATCTGAGAATAGAATTTGTCCCAAACGTTTTAACTGAAGAACTAGATGTTTGCTGACATTCTGGGCTTAGGAAATTTGTGAGCACTCCTTGAAGGCACCAGCTCTGAAGCTGAGTTTTGCCCCACGTTGCCAGTGGCTTTAGAGAATTAAACAGGGCAGAGCTTTGCTAGCTGAGCTTTCTCTGATTGAATCAGTTCTGCTAACAAAGTCTAGGATTCAAACAATTCAACCAAAACATTTTTGTTTTAATGCTGGTCATCCTCCCTGTTAAGTGCTGCAACTGAAGCTGATTTGTGCTTGTATATGATCTGGCAACAGCAGAGAATTGAGGATAAATGGACAGAACAAGGAATAAGATTTTTTATGTCTTTCACTCACTTTTTCCTTGCCCTTATGTGGCTGGTGAATGAACATGTTTGTGAATGTATACAATTATAGGAACTTACAATTTAAGTGGTCTTTTTTTTAATGTTTAGTTCTTGAATTCTTAACCTTGTATTCAATTACAGTGGTTAGTAACAAGACCTCTCCTTGACGTGCCCTCTTAGCTCTCATACTTTAGTTTCATTTGTGCCACTTGCTGGATTCTGTGTTTTATTCAGAAGTTCCTATGGATAATGACTTCTCTCATACACCCTATTAAAAATACTAATTTGAGCACTGAAAACATTTTGCCTTTTGTTTGCTGGTTGACTTTTTTTCTTCTACAGGAAATGTTGTGAGCATCGGGAAATATAGGAGAGCAGTCCAGGCTGCAGTCAGTGTAGATTTCCAAGAGACAGTGGGCGGGCAGAGCTGTGCTTCCTTCCCTCCCCAGGCTGTGTTTATTTAAGTCCCAGAGCATGAAAGTGATTAAATAAACACATCTGTGGGACTGCAGAGCATGGGAATGGGTTCAGTCATTCTTATCTCTCTGCTGCTTCTTCACGCTCCCGTGCAACAGTAGTTGACTCTCACCCTCCTGTGGCATGTTTCATCCCTAAGTACTTCATATGTGTCAGTGGTGAAATTCCCAAACTCTCTGAGGCAGATGTTGCCAGTTAAATGTTTGCTGGTTAGTGCTCAGCAGGGGTATCCTAGCCTGATATAGAATGTAAACATGCGTTTTGCTTGTGAAAACTGCTCTGATGTTTTTCACACACTTATGGGGCTTTGGTTTTGAAGGTGCCTTCTACCACAGTCCAAGTGGCATGTAACTGTTGCATGTAACTCCATTGAGCTGACTGCTCTTGAAGGATAGCCTGGATCCTTCTAGTACTCAGCAACTTAGAGTCTTGCTAAAAGCAGTGAGTATGTGAATTATGGAAAGGGAATTCAAATATGAGTGACTGGTAGCTTTAATTTTTCAGCTCAGATCTTACCAAATAGGTAATGAAATTTTCCACAGAGCTCAACTTTCTGCATCTATTAAGGCAACCATGGAAGCACAGGAGTGCAGGGTAATTTGAAAATTTGGTCTGTACCTTGCAACGACTTTAGAAGCTCCGTTCTATGGGAAGTCTGGTCATGGTGCAGATGTTGAACCACTGAAAACCTGCATCTGGCTGTGCTGTGATTAATGTGGATGGCCATAATACTGTAATGACCACACTGTGATCTTCTATGTGACTGCATGTGTTGTGGCAACAGCAGGCAAAGTGAAGGCATCTTTTCTGGATTCATTGGAGCAGCTCTTCAGAGGTACAACACTGTTTTCTTCGTGTGGCAGTACCATAGGGTGGAAAGCAGCTTGTGTTTGTGCACAGGTATGAAACTGGTTTGCGACAGGAGGCGATGAAGAAATGCTGGAGACCCAGAAAAGCTGATGACCATTTGACCTGGTGAACAACAGAAAGTGTTAAATACAGTACTTCACAGCAGAAAGTGAGGATAAATTACACTTGGACTTAAGTTATGCAGAGGCACTACTCTGCCACACAGTGGGGAAAGCCACCTGCTGGAAACTGTAGAATTACATATTGATGCAAGAAATTGCAGAAGCAGTTTTAACCTCGGGCTGTCACCAATTGCACTGCATGAATGTCTGCTATTAGGATAATGAGTTTGAGGAGGTGTTGAGAATTTTGTTTTGAAAGCAAAAGGAAAAATACCTTCTTTGAAAAAACTTTATATCCAGCCATTATACTCTGAGCAAATAAGACCAGACAATTTAAGTGGAT